TGTTTTCATTTTTGTTGTTTAAATTAGATGAATTTTTTGTTCTCTTTCAGAGGAAGGTCACAGGTCAGGCTCAGTTCTTGTAAAGCTGAGGTTTACAGTGTGTGGTGCATGGAAACATGAATCCCACGTGCTTTGGAAATTAATATATATATATATATAGTAACTAGCATACATACAGGTGTTGCGGAGGCTACAACATAATAAACACACTTGATCGGGATCACTGCTTCTTGGTCTTCCTTTATTGTGCACAAGAGAAATCACTTTACAGGAGAACTGCAGGCAGGCTAAGGTCTGAAGCTTAGTCACAATGTGCAGTCTTATGTAGGCATAGACAGGATAACATAGCATGAGGGAGTGTGTGGAGATATCTGTCTGAAACGAGGAAAGACCGTTATTAGATCCTAGAAAAGGGAGGAAGAGGAGCAGAAAGTCGAGGTGCAAACATCCTGCAGCTGCCAGTTATCAGAAATACCTTACTGCTGAGCAGGGAAGTAGAAGGTCACAGCACCTTCACTGTGGAGAACCTTGTGGGCTAAGAATGACCTCTTGAGCTAAAACACTGGGTTACACAAAGACACTATAGACATATGTACAAGTTCAACAAGTTACTATCAGGTTGTATCAAGACAATAAATTTCCATTACACAAGCTATGCAAAACATGGACAAATGCCAACAAGTTAATAGAATAGAATAGAATAGAATAGAATAGAATAGAATAGAATAGAATAGAATAGAATAGAATAGAATTTACACGCCACAGAAGCATCCAAAAATACAGAAAGTACAAGAAAATAACAATAATTAAGTAATATGCATCCCTGGTGTCTGCACACAGCAGGTCCAAGGCCCCACTGTCTCCGGTTGGACAGTCCACATACTGGCTGAATGTGGGGAGAGTGGTAGAGAGCGATGTATGATTAAAGTCTCCTGAGATGACGATCAGAGACTGAGGATGTGATGTTTGCAGCTGGGACACTGAACTATGGATGAGCTCACAGGCTGCAGCAGCATCAGTAGAGGGGGGGATGTAAACTGTAATCGCCGGGATAATGGATTATAAAACAACAAAACAAAATCATGTAATCAAACCAGAAAAGTCAGTTTGTTTAGCAATATCCTGGTCTGTAGCTTTTGTTAGCTTTGTAAATGTTAATGTAACACACTACTATGTGCATCAATATATAAGTCTTTGTGTCTTTATAGTTAAAAACAATCCAACAAACAAAACATGAATATTCACTGCATACAATGATGCGATCATGGCCATCAAAAAAAACTTTTTAAAAATGTATTTATTCATTGTGGCAACCAAATAATAGTCCTAGTCTTTCTATTTTAAACAGTTTTAAAAACAGAAACATAACTGCATCAACATGTTCTCTTAGCAAAGTATTGTTGGGTATTGTGTTGCAGTTAGTGTTCATTTAGCAAGACATGCTGCAATATCATATATGATTGTTGAGTGATGTTAATTCTGTTAGTAAAGATAATGTACAAGTTACCAGACTGTTTTTGATAAAACTTTTCTTTGTATATTTATATACATGTTTAGAAAAAGATGACGTCTATATATATATGAGAATATCAGGGCTGCATATATGGGTTCCTATAGACCATGTTTCCCTGGCTTCTGTTTTTACAGTGATTGTCTTACAACAGAGAAATTTATAAGAATCCTAAAAGATTATATTTAAAAAGGTGAAAATCCTGCAAGACTTTTTGACTTGAGATTTTACAATTTGCTAGTTTGCAAGTTTTATATTTCTGAGCATGTGTCGTCTTTTTCAGTTTGCCTACAGCAGTAAATGTGGATGAAGAGGATGTTGTCAAGAAAAGGGGGACGGTTTTGTTATTGGTGTGGACGGCACTGTAGTAATGCAGTATTTGTATCAGAGGAGGGCGCACTAATGGAGGACGTGGGCGTGTCAACTTTCGTATGTGTAAGCGCTAAATCTCTAAATTGGTGCTTCTACACTATTGTTGCGCACGTATGGGCACAGTTAAATAGGTTTACAGACGAATAAAATCAGCATCACCCACAATATTAAAATAGAAGGGGTTCCACTACGTATGTCGCCATCTTTACTAAGGGACAATAACCCTACTGCTATAACACAACTTGTTGTAATTTGCTAAAACTCAGGATATCGTTACTTTATATTGGTTTCGAGTGTTCATGAAAGCAGATTTCTATTCAGAGCATCATACACCGACTTACAAGGGCAAATATCAAAACCTGTATATACGTTTCTGTCACAAAAGGTTAGCGAGCGGGTCTCCGTCGCCATGTTTACTTTGGGTGACGCCAACTCTCTTCCATTTTCCTCCGCCTCTGGTTGTCAAGAAGATGGCAGCTTCCAGGCAGGCATGAGAGGAAATACTTCTTCACAAATCGAATGAATTTGGATTATTGCCGCAAGATTAGAGCACATACCGGTGTTTTTGCAATTACTGCATCGAATTAAGTGAGTAAAATTCTAAAGTGTTTGTGCCTTTTTCGGTTTGTTATGTTTTGTTGTAGCAAACCGCCCGGCCATTTTTCTTGTGGGAGCTGTAGAAGTAGGCCGATTGTCGAAAATATGGCTGCTTCCAGAGACGGCATGAAACATAATAACACTGTGTTTAAGCTGATAACCTCAATTTAGCTGCGTTTTAGGAGCGTTGTTGCAACTACATTTGTATCAGGTAAATGATGCATTTGAAAGGGATTTGAGATTACGTTGAATTTAATTGTGAAATTAGGCGACGCTTTGACAGAAGCCAACCCTGCAGCTAACGCTGTTAGCGCGAGCAAATTAGGTTGAGCATCTAGCCGCTACGGCTAACGGAGCACAGCTAACACTGGAATCCCTTTGAATGCTGCGTTTGCACTTTAAAATTGACTATATTTCAGTAAATCGTTCGATTCACGTTGAGACGCGTGATTTTCTCAGCACACACTGCTGGTAAAGTATGCTTGGGACATTTTTCTAACATTATTTACTGCGTTAAAGGGGTTGCAAAGAATGCTAAGCTTGCTAGCTACAATATGGCGACTCCCAGAGAAGCATGAAAATAGCCGACTCTTGCTAACGATTCTAACGGTTGATTAAATCTGTGTTGCCACTGCGTGTTGTTCTGCTTGACCGGCTTACAACCAATCTGTTGAATTTGTGATCATTGCGGTGTGCTTGTTTGCCGGTACAGTGGGCTAGCTCTCATGTATTTTTCTTTTTCATTCGCTTCCGCCATTTTTCAGACGGGCAGTAGCGTTAGCGGGGGTTTGTTTGGCTGCAAGATGGCTGCTTCCATGGATTGAATTCAATGGTTAGAAACAACTAAGAAAAAACTTGGGTGATGAAAAGATTTCGTGTTTGTGCTGAACACAACTGCTGCATCGAGTCTGTATTGATTGTTTTAAATCAGGAGTTGGTCGAAAAGTGCTGTGCGGATTTAGTTTCTTCGGATTGAATGTATTCGTGAACCGGGGCTAGCCGCTAACGGTTCAGCTGATCTGACCGCAGTAGCACTTGTAGAAGTTAGCCACAGTGTTCTGTCAGATGCTGCCGTGAGATTTCTTTTGTTTTTGTTGTGGATATGGCGCGATTCGTTGAGCAGGTAAAACAAATATGGCTTTATTATTCTTTCGGCAGAAGTCATGTCTGCCCCTGGCTCCGCGGTGTCTGGGACCACGGCGTCGGTTCTGCAGCCGCGATGGAAACGGGTCCTCGGATGGTCCGGTCCTGTTCCCCGGCCCAGACATGGACACAGAGCTGTGGCTATAAAGGAGCTTATGGTTGTCTTCGGCGGTGGAAACGAAGGGATTGTGGATGAGTTACATGTATACAACACAGGTAAGATTAACTTTGCATGTGGAACTTTGCCGCTTATTTCCTGCAGATCGGATAATGTTGTACACAAACACGTACACAAATAAAAACCACGATGATATAAAGCAGTTTTGAGCAGTTTTCGCCTAAAACTGCTGATTTTAATATATATTCGTGACCTGCAAAACTAAATAGCGTCCAGGCCGCAGCAGGCCGAACGGAGCCGTGTCTGATTAAATTTGGCCCCCTCTGCCGGGTAAAGGCTTCTAATGCACGTTAAAAAAGGCGGGCTAAAATAAAATGGATGATGCTGGTTGGTTTAAGCATATCCTCTGCCCCAGTTTCCTGCACCTAAACCAATAAGGACAGACAAACTTAGCAAATGTGGTTTGTGTGTGTTCCCATCCATAAGTGCAGATATTGGTTTAATAAGAGAGCTGCTCACTGCTTAGACTGTTTAGAAATACACAGCCCTGTTGTGGTCGTAACTTCATTCATATTAAGGATAAGTTGATATGCCTACGTGCACAAAGATAACCCCCATTGTTGTTGTTGTGTTTTTGTTTTTTTCCCAGCAACAAACCAGTGGTTTATCCCAGCAGTCCGTGGTGATATTCCCCCTGGTTGTGCTGCGTATGGTTTTGTCTGTGATGGCACAAGGTTGCTGGTATTTGGTGGAATGGTGGAGTATGGAAAGTACAGCAACGATCTCTATGAACTACAGGTAATCTTTCTGTGTAAACTCCCCTGGAGTTTTACATTAAACTTGCCCGTTTCTCAACTAAGTGGTTGACGCATTTAGTTAATTTGAGTATAGTTCAATTCAAAACATTTTCCAGGCATGTTAGTTTTTTGAAATACCTGTTATTGTAGCTCGAGCATGAAAAGGAGGTGGTTGTGTTTACAGAGCAGTGTTCGTACGCAAGGCGTCGTACGACAAGATCATCACCAGCTGGACATTATGCGTGCACATTTCTGCAGCTACATATCAGTTTGTCTGTCTGCATTAGAGATTACTGATACAGGAAAGAGAAAGTCGAAGTCAACTCCCTCACTGTCCACTGTAACAAAGTTTTACCCTTTTGCATGTGTTCAACGCTCAGCTACAGACAGTCACTGTAAGCCTCTGGTCAGCATGATTGAAACGGAATTCTCATTTGTCAAATGTGGGAAGTGCATCGCATACCTGCTGGTGTCACTGAGTCGGTTAATCCTGACCGTGCACTTCAGAGGATTAAATTAAAGGAGTAATGCAGTGCGGTCCATCTACAGTCTTATGTAACTGTTGAGGGTTGGAACAGTAATATTTAAAATAATAATTTGTGATTGCCTGTTGAATGGTTCAGCTCCATTTTAGGTTTTTACTACAATGAAGTCACATTTTTGTGAAGGAGAATCTAAAACATAATTAAGTCTGTGGTCAAATTTCATGCTGATCAATTTATGTTTTTTTTCTGCGCCTCAGTTATGTTTGATTTAATTAATCAGACATGTGCCCAACTGTCTTTATTGTCAGATTGGCAAAATATGTTGCAAAATAAGTTTTCTGAACCAGTTTCCAGATACATGTATACACACTGGAAAATGGAATCGACACAAAATGAATAAGCAGTGTACAACTAGGTAAAAAAAAATAAGTGCAGAATCTAAAATGGGATTAGTGCATTGTAATTAAATACATTGATTTAATCCCAATGTTCTACACAAAGTCCTATCCTTACTATTAAATTGTCAGGTCAACTTGTTCTGCAACTTTAAATACTGAAATGTTTCGACCCTCGTTTCTGTTACAGGCCAGCAGATGGGAATGGAAAAAGTTGAAAGCAAAAAACCCGAAGAATGGCCCTCCTCCTTGTCCTCGTCTCGGCCACAGCTTTTCACTGGTTGGCAACAAATGCTACTTGTTTGGTGGGTTAGCCAATGACAGTGAAGACCCAAAAAACAACATTCCCAGGTACAGATGTTTTCCTTGCTGCCGCTGCTTGAGCCCTCTGAGGCTTGTTTTCTTGAGAATCTACTTCACCAACAACATGCGCGTGACTGTTTTCTCTTTCTCAGATACCTGAATGATCTATACACACTCGAGCTCCGTGCGGGTTCCAGCGTGGTTGGATGGGATATTCCGATCACATACGGAGTTCTGCCTCCTCCTCGTGAGAGCCACACGGCTGTGGTATACACAGAAAAGACGAGCAGGAAGTCTCGCTTGATAATCTATGGAGGAATGAGCGGTTGTCGTCTTGGAGATCTATGGACACTTGATATCGGTAGGTTTCTAAAGTGTAAATGGAAAAATAGCAGCAATAAAATTATAAATGCTCTGCTGTCAGCCCTTAGAGACACTGCTGCTGTTTACACCCAATCAGAACAAAGAGAGCTGAACATTTCACTGTTAGAGTTCCCCACTGTCAGGAGGGATATGAAAAGTTAATGTTTGACAATCACATGTGAATTTCTCTTACATGACGTGCTTTGATTAATCTGGTAGCATTTGATAAAACATTGAAGCTTTTGTATAACACCCTGCTGCTTGTCACTGTCTCCAGACACTCTGACATGGAACAAACCATCAGTAAGCGGCACAGCGCCACTTCCCCGAAGTCTTCACTCTGCCACTACCATCACAAACAAGTAAGACAACTGCTGCACATTTCCAATAACACAGTGAATTTTGCTTTCAGACATTGTTGGAATTCCCTGTAGAAAAGACTGTGTCTGGTAGCAGGATCTCACTTCATTTTCTCTCTGTGCAGGATGTATGTTTTTGGAGGATGGGTTCCTCTGGTGATGGATGACGTCAAAGTGGCAACCCACGAGAAAGAGTGGAAATGCACAAACACTCTTGCCTGCCTAAATCTTGGTTTGTCTAACTCTATATTTAATATGCTTGATTTATTATTTGAAAAGTTTCTACCAGTTTTAACTTCTGAATAATGTTTCTGTAGACACCATGTGTTGGGAAACAGTATTGATGGATACTCTTGAAGACAACATCCCCAGGGCCCGTGCAGGCCACTGTGCTGTGGCCATCAATTCCAGACTGTATGTTTGGAGTGGCCGTGACGGTTATCGTAAAGCTTGGAACAACCAAGTCTGTTGTAAAGACCTCTGGTACTTGGAAACAGGTGGGTGTTCTGTTACATGAGTGAAGTCAGTGGCTCAAATTGTCAGATTGTACCATTGTTGTTAAATTTGTTATTTTCTACCGCAGAGCGGCCGCACGCCCCAGCCAGGGTGCAGCTAGTCCGTGCCAACACAAATTCCCTGGAAGTGAGTTGGGGTGCAGTGTCCACAGCTGACACCTACTTGCTGCAGCTGCAGAAGTATGACATCCCTGCGACTCCAGCTGCAGCATCACCAGCCATGAGTGCAACCCCATCGCAGCCTCTTAACTCTCCAAAGAGCCCTGCACCGGCTGCTGCAGCACCCTCCGCTCAGAGCTTGCCGCAGACAGGTATTCCACTAGTGCCCAATTATTTTTTACTTTTCATGTCCAGTGTTGTCACTACAGCAAGAAGCTCGACAACTGCAAAAGCACACAAGTTCTAATCATCTGGTTCCTTTATTTTACAGCCGTTTTAAAGGTTGCAGCTCAACAGTCTGCTACAGGCACATCTGTTGTCACAGTTCGCCCCAGCCAGCCGGGGAAATCTCCTGTCACTGTGACATCCCTTCCTCCAGGTGTTCGAATGGTAGTGCCTGCCCAGACCACCCAAGGATCGGTATGACCAATTTTGTACAGCATTTTAGCATGTTTCAGATTTGGCATGGCGTGCATTGTTAGATCAACAAATGTGTTCAATAATATTTTACTTGTCCATTTTCAGCCAATTGGAAGTAGCCCTCAGATGAGTGGCATGGCAGCTTTAGCTGCTGCAGCTGCAGCAACACAGAAGATCCCGCCCTCTTCTGCAGGCACTGTCCTCAATGTTCCTGCAGGTGCCACCATTCTCAAAACAGTTGCTGTTTCCCCTGGCACAACCACAGTGAAAGTGGCTTCTCCAGTCATGGTACACATCTCAGCAATTGTTCTTGTTTCTAACATTGTGAGCGTTCTGATAATCACAAGTCAGTTATTAACATCATTTTGTGCTTGTAGGTCAGTAACCCAGCTACCCGGATGTTGAAGACAGCTGCAGCCCAGGTCGGCACAGCAACCGCGTCCTCTCCCACCACCACCAGACCCATCATCACTGTGCACAAGTCAGGCGCAGTCACAGTAGCTCAGCAGGCCCAGGTGGTCACCACTGTGGTGGGAGGAGTGACCAAGACTATCACCTTGGTCAAGAGTCCCCTCACCATGGGCAGCAGTGGCACTCTGGTAAGAAAACAGGAATTCTGTAGCACAATGTTAATACTGAAACGCTACTCTGAGAGCACCCTTTGGTGCTTTCACAAGCATGCTGTAAATCATGGATTCTGTAAATCGCTTTTTCACACTTGGTATGTGTGACTGTTTTGGTCACAAGATGGGGACAACATGAGTTTGAACCAGTAGGGGAGGCTGTAAAAGTTGGCCTGCAGTGACTGTTGGAGAACTCTACTAAGAAAACGGGGAGCATGATGTTAGTGATCTGCATGACTGTTGGTCAGTTAGGGCTGGAATGATTCATAGAGCCACAAGTTTAGTGGTCCACCTTCCCACTGAACTCCCTGTGCTGTCCGATGTTTTCTGGTGACTCATGAACTTGAGTCTCTCTCCTATGTCGGCAGATCTCCAACCTTGGCAAGATGATGTCTGTGGTACAAACCAAGCCAGTGCAGACATCAGCTGTCACAGGCCAGGCTTCCACTAACCCTCTCACACAGATCATACAGGTCAGCTATCTGCATGAGTGCAGGAAAAAACAGGAGGTAGCTTAAAACTCCTGAGACAGGCACCAGATGTCTTTCTTCAGATGGTTTGCATAACGTGTGCCTCTTTTCCCAGACAAAGGGTCCCCTCCCAGCCGGCACCATCCTGAAGCTGGTGACTTCTGCAGATGGCAAACCCACAACCATCATCACCACTTCCCAGGCGGGAGGCACGGGAAACAAGCCCACTATCCTCAACATCAGTGGCGTCTCTCCAACCACGACAAAGCAGGGCACCACCATCATAAAGACCATCCCCATGTCGGCCATCATGACCCAGCCTGGAGCTACAGGTCGAAACTCATTCACGTTTACACTACTAGAACTACATAACTGGGCAGCCTGCACATTGAGATCTGTGCTGTAAAACAGCACTTACAATGATGTTAATGCAGTGTTTAATGTCACATGGTTGATGTGTGGTGATTTTGTGCCACAACAAAATTAGCTGTAATGTAGGTTTGATGCTTTTAATATTTAATTGTCCAGCAATTAACATGAATAAAAATAATTGGCAAGAATTGTTTGCAGGTTGAAATCGATAATTAGGTTTGGTCTTCAGTTGACATCAGATGAAGAATAGTTTCAGGCATATGTGTCTTTGTCATTCCAGGTGTGACAAGCAGCGCTGGTATGAAAACACCAATCACAATCCTTACCACAAAGGTAATGACCACTGGAACTCCTGGTAAAATCATCACTGCAGTGCCCAAACTTGCCACTGCAGCCGGCCAACAGGGACTGACACAGGTAAGCTCACTCTGTTTGTGTACTAACCTTTGTAGATAGTGTTTGTTTTGCTATTTTGGGGTTAAGACTAAACCTGAATCTTCTGTTTCTAGGTGGTCTTGAAGGGTGCTCCTGGGCAACCTGGCACTATTTTGCGCACTGTGCCCATGAGCACGGTGGGTGGTGTTCGTCTCGTTACACCAGTGACAGTGTCTGCCGTTAAACCCGCTGTCACCACTCTGGTTGTCAAGGGGACTACTGGTAAGGATGACCGTGGTTGTGATTTTGCTTTTAAGTGATTAATTATCAGCTGACGTGAATATGTCACCACAGATCATGTACTTTCTACAGTGTACTCTGTTTTCATTGTTCAATGCCTTCCTGCTTCCAGGTGTCACCACTCTTGGCACAGTCACTGGTACAGTCTCAACTAGTTTGGCAGGAGGCACAGTTGATAGTTCAAATGCTTCTCTGGTTACCCCCATCACCACGCTGGGAACCATCGCTACCCTGTCCAGTCAGGTCATCAACCCAACTGCCATAACTGTGTCAGCTGCTCAGACTAGCCTGACCTCTGCCTCCACACTGCCCTCCTCTACCATCACAGTGCAGGTAAAACCCAGCAGCTCGTCTTTCATCAGCTTGCAACATCTGCATCTTAGTCATTAGGCCATGAGGTTATTGCACTAGTTTGCATCATAAGCTTTTTTGTATTACAGCCCAAGGAAATTACTGCAGAGGAAGGTGTTGCTGCCTATTTCTCTTATCACAAAACGACAGAACTGCTGCAAGGAAAATAGGGAAGACATACTCTGTGCCTTTAGGATCTCTAAATTTGCTTTCTTCCTTCCAGAACCAGCCCACCCAGGTGACTCTGATCACAACTCCCAGTGGCGTAGAGGCTCAACCAGTGCAGGATCTACCTGTGTCGATCTTGGCTTCACCAACCTCTGAGCAGCCCAGCTCCACTGAAGCTGGAGCAGGCGGAGAGGGCTCCGGCACCGTCACACTGGTCTGCTCCAACCCTCCCTGTGAGACCCACGAGACAGGAACAACCAACACAGCCACCACCTCGTCTGCCACCATCGGAGCAGGACAGGTCTGCTCCAACCCTCCCTGTGAGACCCACGAGACCGGAACCACCAACACAGCCACCACCTCTTCTGCTACAATCGGTGCAGGGCAGGTGTGCTCCAACCCACCATGTGAGACCCATGAAACGGGCACCACCAACACAGCCACAACTGCATCCTCAAACATGACTGCGTTACGCGTGTGCTCCAACCCGCCGTGCGAGACCCACGAAACAGGGACAACTAACACGGCTACCACAGCGTCGTCTAACATGGGAGGAGTCCAGCAGTTGTGCTCCAATCCACCCTGCGAGACCCACGTGACGGGCACCACCAACACATCCACCCAAGCTTCCTCCAACATGAACGCAGGCCAGACTAGCACCGTGCAGAGAGTGTGCTCCAATCCACCCTGCGAAACCCACGAGACGGGGACCACCAACACTCCGTCCACAGCCACCTCCAGCATGGGAGGAGACCAGACCAGCACGGCGACGGGCATGGTCCAGAGGGTTTGTTCCAACCCACCATGTGAAACACACGAGACCGGGACCACCAACACAGCCACCACCGCCACCTGCAGCATGGAGACAGGCGAAGGCACAGGTATGTAAACATACTGCACACGCTGGAATGTATAATATAGTTATAATTAACCAATTAAACAACATAAGGTAAGTGAGTTAATCATTCACTGATAGATTTAAAATTAAAAAGGTGAAGTTCTACGTATCAGCTTGTTCTTGCTCTTCATTTTTTAATCAAAGAAACCAGATTAAAGACGCAGTTTGTCACATGGTTGATAGTTGTTTTGCATCCAGCAAGTAAAATGTATGTTTTCTTTGTCATCAGCAGCCCAGCAGACAGAGGAAGGAGCAGAAGGTACCAGCAGCACAGAAGTGGCCTCCACCACTGCAGCAACTGGCATGGCTACCACCACCCAGGGCAGGGCCATTACTACTGTCACTCAGTCTACACCAGCTCCTGGACCCTCTGTACCCGTAAGAATAGCACACAATTTCTGTCACAATTCCTTGGCAATGGTAGTCATGTTACTCACAGCAGATGTATAGCTTAACGCTGCAAGTCCAATAGAAAAGAAACATAGAATTTTCAGAATGTTCTGTTTTTTCTCATTGTGGCCGATGCGTACGTTTTATCTTTGTTTCCCTCTAGTCGATCTCATCAATCACAGAGGGGGCGAGTACTGCTGCCAGCTCCACAGAGGAGCCCATGCAAACTGATGAGGCAGCATCAGCAGAAGCTGCACCTGCTGAGGAGGGAGCCACTGCTATGGAGACACAAGCAGAGGTGAATAATGTATAACGTCACACAAAGCCGATGCCAGCCTTGCATTCTGAGATTCCATTCAGTCGTGCAGTTCTTTTTGCAGTCATTTGATGGAACTGCTCTTATGTGTTTCTCCAGGGAGAAGCAGCAGCAGCGACAGCGTTGAACCTGCCTTCAGAGCTGATGTCTGAGGGCCAGGGAGCCACACTGATGGTGACGGGGCTGTCGGATGAGGAACTGGCTGTGACTGCAGCAGCAGAGGCAGCTGCTCAGGCAGCAGCCACCGAAGAAGCCCAGGCCCTCGCTATCCAGGCCGTTCTCCAGGCAGCTCAGCAAGCCGTAATGAGTGAGTATAAGCATCGCTTTGTATAGTCAGACTAGGATTTACTTTGAACTGTAACATCAGAGATCAAGCCCTGGCTTTATTTATAGAAGGAAAAGACATGAAGATGGATTTTTTTTTTTCATTTTTAAACATTTAACAACAGCAAGATGATGCTTAGCAGATGTGTGCTGTAGCTCTGAAACCTCCTTAAGGCTGCATTTGTTGAGTATTATTTGTATTTTTTACAGATGAGGGTGATGCTGCTGGAGAGAGCCAGCAACCCACCACCATCCCCATCATGCTGACCCAGCAAGAGCTTGCAGCCCTTGTCCAGCAGCAGCAGCAGCTGCAGGAGGCTCAGGCTGCAGCCCAGCAGGCTGCCGTGGACACGAGCTTACCCACTGAGGGCCTCGCTCCTGCTGACAGCCTCAACGACCCTTCTGTCGAGAGCAACGGACACAATGAAATGGCTACTACAGTCACTGGTGCTGTGGCGTCCCTTCTGCCACGCACCACTGCTGAGAGTAAGTCTTGGTGCTTTGTTTTTTTTTTGAGATTCTTGGGATGTTGTTTTGTACAGTCGGTTAACCTTTTTGTTTCTTTTTCCACCACTCAGCACTCGCTCCATCAAGTACATTTGCACCCTCTGTATCCGTGGCAAGTCCAGCCAAGCTGCAAGCAGCAGCCGCTCTAGCAGAGGTCGCCAATGGCATCGAGGGAGAGGTCAGTCATAGTACTAAAGATCTGGTTGATTAAGGGATATTTTTTATTTTATTTTATTTTTTCCCCAATTGACAATATGTTTTGTTTCCATACAGAAACAAGCCCCTCAACCAACCCCAGTGAAGCCTGTTGTAAAAAAAGAGAACCAGTGGTTTGACGTCGGGATTGTTAAAGTGACAAATATGGTTGTCACCCACTTCTATGTGCCAGCAGATGATTCTCAAGGAGATGTAAGTGTCTCGGGGGGCTCCTTTCATGCTTCGATGGCTATGCATTATTGCTCTCACTGCATCTCTAATCGCTTATTATTTTTGTTTGGTAGGATGACTCTGGCATCATGCCAGACTACAGCCAGATGAAGAAAATGGAGCTTCAGCCTGGAACAGCTTACAAGTTCCGTGTTGCTGGAATCAACGCTTGCGGTCGTGGAGCTTTCTCGGAGATCTCTGCGTTTAAGACTTGCCTACCAGGTTTCCCAGGGGCACCTTGCGCCATCAAAATCAGCAAGGTACACACAGCCGTGCAACAGTTTCTCTTGTTGTGTTTTGTTGGATTTTACACTCTGGTGTATAAAACGTGAGCAAGGCACTGAGTAGTATCTGTTCTCTGTGTCTCCCCAGAGCCCAGACGGTGCCCACCTGACCTGGGAGCCGCCCTCGGTGACGTCAGGGAAGATCATTGAGTACTCCGTGTACCTGGCTATCCAGAGCAACCAGACAGCTGAAGCCAAGGCCTCCACCCCGGCACAGCTAGCCTTTATGCGTGTGTATTGTGGACCCAACCCCTCTTGCTTGGTGCAGTCGTCCAGCCTCTCCAACGCCCACATCGACTACACCACCAAGCCAGCCATCATCTTCCGCATCGCCGCCCGCAACGAGAAGGGCTACGGCCCCGCCACCCAAGTTCGATGGCTGCAAGGTGAGCGCACCGATTCACAAACTGGCTCATCAGTTGATTAATAGATAAATGGATATGTTCTAACCATTTTCCTGCTTTCTAGAATCTGGCAAAGACGCAGCCTCTGCAAAACCGGCCCCCAAAAGACCAGGCACCTCTCCCGATACGTAAGTAACAGCATTGATGTTTCCCACTGCGCCCACAAACAGACATGATCATGGCACCGATGAATGAAAACGTGCAATACTTATTCTGGTTTTGTGTCCTCCTGCAGTAAGACTACTGGTCCAAAGAAAGCAAGGACGGACCAGTGAGGTTGCCCAGAGACCCCTCCCAGTCTTTTGTCCTTTTTCCACTCGCTGTCCTTTTTATCAGGAAGACTGACCTTCACCCCTCCTTCACCTCCTCATCCTAATCTCATCCTCCAACCCCCCCCTCCCCCCCCACCGTCTCAGATCAAGGCAGCAATGGAGGCAGAACAACCGTATGAAGCCAAGATGAAAGTCAAATCTGAGAGATGTTTCTGTAGATAAAACCCTCCTTCCTCCTCGTTCTGTTGGTCGTACTATTTTTAGAGCAACACAAACCTAGAAGCACATTATCTTTTTCAGTCACATCCCCTTCCATCCTTTAACATCTATTTTTGGCTTGTTTCAGTAGTTGAACAGTATAGAGAAGCATTTACATCTTTCACAAACTGGGAGCCAGCCTGAGCGCAATGTTACCTTTTTCTTTTTTTTTCTTTTCTTTTTTTTTCTCTTCGTCTGTGTTTTGTGAATTCTGGGGAGGGGGGGGGATGTAGAGAGAGACTACATGAAATGATGTACAGTGTTGAAAAAAAAGGCTGTGGAGGCATTAGTTTAGATGAGAGGAAAAATCGGTATGGAAACAAATAAAGCACTTGTCCTCAACGAATGAGGACATCATTTTTTTCCCTTTCTCTTTTTTTGCTCAAAAACAAATTTGCTTCATCGAGAACCAAGTCTGTACAGTCATCGTACTGGACTCCCATCTCCTGGTAATGTCATCACTGTGCGCTTTTTACCCCAAGATGAGGACCGGTGGCCGAAAACTTTGAAGTGGACAAAAAAGAATGGCAAAGGAAAGAGATTTGTAGAGAACGAATGACAAGACTTTGCTAGGACTGAGACTTGCAGCACACACACACACATAAAAAAAAAAAAAAACCTTGCAAAATCTTCCCAAAAAATTAGCAAGCAATGACGCAGAAGATCTTTTGTGTAGTTTATTTTTGTATTTTTTAAGCTTTTTTTTTTCTTTTTTTTTTTTTCTCCTGTGTGTATGTGTATGTTGTGTGCATTTTTAAAGAAAAACATCACTTTTTTTAACTGTTGTTCATCCCAATAGTTTGTGTTCGTGGGAAGATGGGTGGCTGTGTTGAGGGTGCCACTATATTTTTAAAAAAAAAAAGAAAAAAAATCTTCATTCAGTTGGTTGTATGTTCTTGTTGTTAACAGATGGTATTGAAAGAGAGAAAGACTTTTGTATCTGTTCCAAGTAGAACCGCAGAGGTTATAGGACTGAAGGGAACTTTGAAGTGGACCCAGGGAGAGGAGAGTTTTTACTTTGTTTACTACTCAATGCTTGTGTTGCTTCGTTTGCCAAACATGGAATTTCACGGGGTATGAGGAACGTTACCATCAGATCTTTTCATACCTTTCCCTCGTTAACATCCCGATCAGTTGTCCGACGCTTTTTATGCTCATGAATGTGGTGTCTCACCTCTTCTTTAATTTTTAGAATGGCAAAATTATATTAGTAGACATATTTTCCCTACCCTATTGATGTATGTGAATCCATTTAATAAATTTTAATTTTTTTCCTTCCACGGCTCTGTATTTCAGACTACAGATGGTGTGCAAGCTAACTGTGACATGTTCAACCCATGTGTCTTTGAATGGGGATGTCTTGGGAAAGAAAAGCTTACATAGCCGGAGTGTACTCACTTGTAAATTAGTTCGTTCATAGAGCAAGAATAAAACAAACAAAAAAAAAAAACATCTTGGCCTTTTATATAATTACCTGTAACAAACTGTTTTTACATGTTGGTCATCTCTTGATTGCCTTTTGTGTCTTTACTTATAAAAGAAACAAATATATATATAAATATATATAGTCTCCCTGATTGTTCTAATTTGCTTCTGTCAAGCTGATTCACTGTAGGAGTCTGAATCACTGCTTAGGTTCATTACAGTACAAACTTGTACAGGGAGGAGGTTTCTGACTGGACATGAGTGTATATCTACTTTGTAAGGGCGGATTCAGTTGTGATGGTAACAGCCAGGAAGAGCAGAGCCGAGGTTTGCCGCTTGCCGCCTTTTTCTCCGGCTCGCGCCTTGGCATCCGTTTGTGATTTCTCCCGATTTCTTTCTAGAAATGAACTTTCTCTTCATATGCATTCATAATTTTGTGCGTGTCAGTGTGTCTGTTGAACAAAACTAGACATGCATGCAAAAGCAGTGTATTTTAGTAGTGATGCCTTAAGTTAGACCATAAGCTGAAGGTTCTCAAAAAAAGAAAAAACATTTAATGAGTTTGTTCCTCTCTCCATGTGGTATACAATTGTGTCCTTTCCTTCCACAGTACCTTTGCTGGGTCACTATTTTTGCACCCTCGTTAGATAGGTCATCATCAGCAGTGCCGAGGTCTCTCTGAACTTTCCCTCCCACACTGGGACGAGTGCTTCTCTCAGCACTCACAGGTGTTGCGAGTTTCTCTCGGCTGTTTGCAGGTTATCTGGAAATGTCCTGTATTTTCCAATGTGTGTTTTTTGTACTGTAGGGAGTAATGTATCTTTTATCATCAAAAAATAAACATGTTAAACATAGAGCGATTTCGGTGTCTTTCTTCTCTTAAGATGCAAATATTTTTTTTTTTAAAAGCCTGACTGACTCACCTGCTGCAGGCCGCTCTGAGCCGCTCTCAGAAACGGCTTCTCCACGTCCAGGTCCTCCTTGGCGCTCCCTTCGAAGTACTCTGCTCCTATTTCCTCGCACCACTGCAGGGCCTTTCTGCGCGACACCTGCAAGGAAACACACAGCGCTGAGGTGACAGCAGAGAGAGCTTCATGTGCAGCAAAGTGCAACACAATCTGAAGTAAAGACGCCGCAGGTGAAGAACAGAAATCCCCAATTTATTTTTAGACAAATGTTATGTTTGAACATGTAAATGAGGTGTTATGTCTCCAAATCTGTACTCATTTGCATATTTCTTTTACAATCTGAACATTGGGTTAAGTCAAGTTCAAGATTCTTGTTTTGTTTTGTTGAAACATGAGAATCAAACGTTGTTACTGAGAGGATTTTGGATGCTGCTACATAAATAAGAAAATACTGTCACCAGCCAGAATCCATCCATCCATCCATTATCTATACACCGCTTAATCCTCACTGGGGTCTTGGGGGGGCTGGAGGGTGAAGGCAGGGGTCACCCTGGACAGGTCACCAGTCTATCACAGGGCTACACTTAGAGACAGACAACCAAGCACACTCACATTCACACCTACAGACAATTTAGAATCACCAATTAACCTCAACATGTCTGTAAAATAAAATTAATTTGATTCAAAACATGATGAGAATAATTCAAACCAGCTCATTTTCAGCCAATGAACTTTCAGCTGACTTCAAGTAACTTAATAAAGAAAACAAAAAGACCTAACTCTTTCTTCTCTCTCTGACGTTTGTACTGCTTCAATTAACTCCAGTTCTACTTAAATACAACATTTTAACTGCTTCTGTGTATTCATTAGGACATAAAGTACGAATTTATTGTAAAATAAATAAATACACTCAGATCCTTAATTTTTAAACTGTGACAACATTTTCATAATTTTGTTCCTGGACACCACAACAATGGATCTAAAATGAGGCGATCAAGATCAAGTCACTTCCTGGTTTAATTCAAGGGGTTTTTCCAAAAACACTGCATTAACTGTTTTTGTTTGACACAGTTCCTCCAATTTTACAGAATTAAAAGCAGTTTGACATCCAGGTGTGAACTGTTTCCTGGTTCCATGACAAGTGCTGGAGATCAACGGTCTGGAGCTGAATCCAAGTGTGAATTTGCATTTTGGTGGGTGGCATTGGAAACTCTACATACGTGGTCCAAAGATGGGATCACTAGTGTTAAGTGATGATGCAACAGCTGACAGAATTAGCAGCTAGAATTCTGAAGAGGACAGAGCTTCACATTCTGCTCTGAATTCTTGTATTTCACTCACAAAACGGTCATTTATCATCTCAGGTCATTTTTTTCGTACAATTTATAAAGCAAGCAGGGGTTTTTAATGCACAGCAACCTTGGTCACAGTCACAATTAGCAAGTACTTCCTCTCACATTTCAATAGCAAACTTCATTCTTAACCCTTTACGGGGCAAGTGACCATATTTGGTAACTTCTTTGGACGTTCAACGTGTCCATCCTGTGTTTCTCCTTGAGGTTGAAGAACCACAGGCACTTTGATTTAGTTTTTTTTATTAGCGCCAGTATCACTACCTTACAAACACAGACACTTTATAAACGCTTTGTTACTGGTTTGCATTGAACTCCACTTTGATTTCTTTTTTAGATTAGTGCCACTAATACCCCAAAGAATAGTTACTAAATGAACTTGCCCAGTGCTTTATAAATACTTTGTTGCTGGTTGTGTAACTATCATTACCTCAAACTAAAATGTATCTAAATAAATGTTTATTTTGCAGTTTGATACTTTTTATTTTATTTATTATAAATTGTCTTTTTTTTTTTAAACCATAGGCTGGCAAGTTACCATATATAGTAACTGTATTAATCTTGATTGAAGTCACAAAAGTAAAAATATCTTGAAATATCCTTCAATAACACCCTAGGGTTGAAATGTTTATTTTCCAAGTATTTTAATTAGTGCCCTATAAAGGGTTAAGTAAGTAAAGGAACCAGTGCTTAAATGATTAGTTGATTAGTAAACTGACAGAAAATCAGTTGTTACGTGTCATGATAACCGATTAATTATTGGATTTTTAAGCAAAAATGTCTTCTGGTATCAGCTTTTCAAAAGTGAAATCTGCTGGTTTTCCTGTTTGTTTTGGACTGTTAACTAGACACAAAGACATTTAACAATATTTCTCATATTTTCTGGCATTTGATACTAAAAATTTGGCTAATTTCCCTGAGGTACCCTACCAAAGGGATCAATAAAGTTCTATCTATCTAATCTAAAGCTCTTTTCTCCGTATTAACTGTTTGAAACACACACACACACGCACACACACACACACACAATCCAAACTTAAGGGCCTAAAACTAGATTTTGCCTCAGGGTACAAGACCAGGGCCACAAGATGAAGGATGGAGGACCTGCCATCAGTGGTGCAAATCTTTTAACAAATCAACAGTAAATCTAAACTAAGGAGACCCATGACAGGAAGCATACTAGTTGGTTTTTCACTGCAACTCTAAGAAAAGCTGCTGGACGACAGGAGAAGACTGACCTCCCTGTCGCTCAGGTCGGTTTTGTTGCCCACGACAATAAAAGGAAAATCAGCCGGATCCTGAGGTTCGCTCTGGAACAGAAACTCCTTCCTCCACACATCCAGGGCAGAGAAACTGGCCTCGGACGTGACATCGAACACCAGCATGCAGCAGTGGGCTCCTCTGTACAGAAGTGGACCCAGAGACTGAAACCTCTCTGTGCCTGCAGTGTCCCAGATCTGACACACAACAAACAAACACACAACACACAGTGGGATGGAAACATGACACTGAGGATTCACTGTCCTGTGTGAAATCAATGTCTGTGTGTGGTCGCCGGATGTGAGGTTGTGTTTCAGTGCAGCTGCAGGGCGGTCGGACAGGTGAGTTACCTGCAGGGTGACCGTGTTCTCCTCTATGGTGACAGTTCTGGAGAGGAAGTCCGTCCCTATGGTGGCCCGGTACATGTTGGTGAAGCGGTGGTTCACGTATCTGTTCATGAAGGAGGACTTTCCCACCCTGAGTAACACACAGAAAACACACACTCACTGTAAAATATCATAAAGGAATTCAGTCAAATCAACTCATCTGTTATAGTTTACTGAATATGTACATATGTTTTGTTAATTTCTAGTTAATTAAACTTAAAATGTGTCATATTTTATTTTGAAGGCCACTTTAGAAACATGATTTCTTATAATTTGAGGTATTTTGACTTAAAATGAGTTGAATGAATGAACAGCTGAGAGTTGTTCAATTAAGTTAAATTACGTTATAAGAAATTAAACTAGCAGGTAAGCAGATTTCCCAGGATGCACCGTGAGAGTTAAGAATCCTTTAGACTTAGGAGATGTGAAAGGAAAACAAGTCTGTAATCACTGTCTCTGTGACTAATATCTGAAGATTATTGAACTCATTTATTTAAATTCAGGTAGTTATGAAAGTGTAAATCTACCTGTTTTACATTTTAACAACTTTTAAAATGTCTTTGATCTAATTAGTGAACCTAAGAGCAGGTAACTCACTTTTTTTCTAGACAGCAGGAGAATTTGTGTTTCTAAGCTGGATGAGCTTAAAATGATTTACAGTTCTCATATACCAGATAAATGGGCAACAAACTCAGTTCTCTCTCTCTTATTTTACATACATTCAATCTTCATTTTATGTCCCACTGAGCCCTTAAACACTATCCTTCACACTTTGATCATTTCCTTTGAGGAATTCCACTCAGCCTGGCAGTAAATCAGGAAGTAAATGAAAGTGAAACGCCATCAGGGCAGCAACAAATCAAAAACGCTCAAATTGACTGAAATAAGATGTCAAAGTTACCCCGTGTTCCCTATGAGGATTATTTTCAGAGTGACAGGATCCTTTATGTCGCTCATGTTAACCTGTCTGTCCCACCGGAGCGTCACCTGCTGCTGCTGCCTTCAAGTGCTCCTCGGAAATTCCTCTTTTCCTTTTATTGATGCAGCAGGAAGTGTTTTTATTGAGGGCTGCAGCCAGGATGTTAAACCAATCGCCCTTTATCTTCCCCCTTCCTCTAAACGCACTGTCTCTAAGGTCACATTACTTTGACCCTTATTTGTCTTCTTCTTCAACTGTTAAACCACATTGGCTGAGTTGTTGTTGTTGTTGTTTTCTTTTCTTTTTTTTTAAAATAACATGCCTGTAAAATTTTGAAATCAAGAAATCAAACATCCAAGATTATCAGTTTAAACTCCCTCTAGGTGGCTACAACTCCCAAACTACAACCAAATCCTGAGCATTGTTCTCAGAGCTCTAAACACTGTGATGCTTCTGAAGGCATCAGGCTGCTTTCTGTTTGACACGTTGCTGACCTCTGTCCTCTTTTTTCCGTCATGGTACAAAGATCAGAGCCACAGCTGGTTTAAACTGTTTTTATAAAGCTGTAAATATGAAAATGAATATCTCCTTATTTCACAAACACACAGACAGACAGACTTCTGGTGTCATTTTGCAGAAAACAACAGACGGCAGTGCTTTTTTTTTGTCTTTGAAAAATATTTCATAAAAAAAAAAAAAAAATCATCCTCTGTTTTATTTATTTATTTATTACACTAAAATCAAAACACTGAATGCCAATAATGAAAGTTAAATATTATGTAATCTACTGTATATAGCGTTGGATTATTTCTCAGTTCCCCCACTGGAGGGCAGTGTAGGCCTCAGGTGATTCACCTTTCCTCTTTCCAGTTGGTACCATCAGGTGGTGATATTATGTTCAACTGGTTTCTCTTTTATTGCTGTTCAACTGGAAGTGAAGCTACTTTATTTAATAAAACTCAACATATGCTGAATATTTTAAGCAAATGCAGAAGAAAAGCTGATATAAAATTAGGAAGAAAAGCATCAGAGGTTAAAATTAATTGTAATATTTCAGTCTTTCCTCTGGTGTTGGGAATAAATAGCAACATTAAAATAATCTGCCTAAATGCATTTAAATGTAAGCATTTAGCACATCAATATAGAAATAGCACAACAAAACAATAAAACCCTGCTGCAATAAACTTTGATCCTGTGCAGCCAAATACTGTCAAAACCTGCAGGACTGTATTTTAAAATAAATCTCATGGTGGTGCCAAATCTTTTCAAATATGACAAGGTTGATTTTGGAGAAATATGTACATAATGATGCATGTGTTGTTGTAGAATATTTCCATTTGTTGTGATGTTGACAGTAGAAAATAGGGTTTTGTGTAAGCATCGTATAATTTCAGTGAAGAGCAGGAATGAGCGAGAATACACAATGTGTGTAGGTAATGTGGAGTAAAGTGGTGTTTTTTCACTTAAATATGACTTTAATTGGAGAGTGTATCTCAAGTAGTTAGTATAATTTTGCTCACCATCAAAGACATGGACACAAACAAACTTTATACATATTAGAAATACATCATTTCTGTAGGTGGTAATTAAGGAGATCTCCACAAACCTTCAGCAAAATTCTGACGTTTGACAACTAATAACAACAAGCAGCTGGAAAAACACACCAAAATGAAAGTGTAAATAAAGAATAAAGCCCAATTACATGACATAATGCCACAATCCTGGCATATCTGCGTCCTGCTGAGACTGTCAGAGGTGCAGCAGAATACTGAGATTACACAAAATCAGCAATGAATGAAAAAGCCATGATATCTCAGTGAGTGGTACCGGAGTGCCAAACTTTATGAATCATTGCAGGAAAACGTACACTCATTACACACCGCTGCCGCACAAAGCTTCACGTGCAGATCTGAAGCTGAGTCACGTGCCAAGAAAGCCACCAGAAAAGTAACTAAACTACTACAAATGTAACGACGGCGAGGACCGAGTGTGTTTTATGTGTACAAGAGAGAGAGAGCGAGTGAAAGCTCTCCGTGGTTTAACACTGTTGCTGCAGAGCTGCATTGCAGAGATAAGAGCCACCGCCTTCACAGAAGTCTGTTTCTTGGGAATTAGAAGGCTGTCCTCAAAGTCCACTGGTGACACACGATGCCATCCGTCACCGGGCGACAATGGGTTCACACAACTTCAGCAAACAAGACGCTCCAGCGACTTCTGTCCAGATACTGTCAGTTTGTCACTGTGTGTGTGTGTGTGTGTGTGTCCACAGGCTTGTGCGAGTAAAGCAGTAGGATGCAACCACTGACATGCCGTAGGGTCCTGTAGGTCTGTATGTCAGTGAGCTTGTAATTCTTGGCCTCCTCCTTTCATCTTGATAACCTCTTATCAGGGCAGAGCAGCCCGTTCACCCAGCAGCAGCAGCAGCAGCAGAAGCAGCAGCAGCAGCCACGTCCCTGCCCAGCTGTCCACGCTGCCACAGAGACCTCATCTCACTCTAAATGCTGCAGTCACTCACACAGGCCCCCACCAACACTTCATTCCCTTTTAATTTTACTATCCTCGGAAGGAAACTGTAGAAAAACAGGGATGAACTGCAGGAGATAACAGAACAAATTCACAACGCTGTTCTGTTTCATGGCAAGCTGGAGCCTACCCAGCATGCACCAGACAGCTCATCATCTTACTGCGCCAACTTCATATCCACAAACCAGAACATTTTCTGCTGCTCTTTTAAAAAATTGTATGGTTATGTAATTAAAGCAATACTGTAAGACCAGTACTGCAAAGAGCCTTTTGTTTTTTAACGATACAATCAATAATTAGTGAGACTTAATAAAGAAAGTTGGAGGAAAGTCCTGGAAGAATCTGAAATATAGCAGAGCAGCTCTATAGGTATCCTATCTGACACTTTTATGGATAAATGTTTTGTTTGTTTGTTTTGTAAAACCAACTGCCGCCTGACACGTCCTAAAAAGTGCACGTCTTATCTCATCCTGATCTTTTTCCACAGAAAACCTGAGATGCACACCTGTAACTTGTTTTTACTTCCTCCACCTTCCCCAAAACTAAGACAACGTGACCTCAGTGACCTCAGCAGCTACATGAAGAGAAGACGTCATCACGGTGGTCAAAATTTCCGTGGAGTTGATTTTCAATTTCATGATAAGTAATTCTAGTCAGAAAGTGCATGTAAATATGGGACTCAGTTACAATTCTGCACCAAGATTGATTTGGCTGGTTGGTCTGGCACGTCGTGAGGATCCATTTACTTGCTTTGGGATTTTAAATAACAGGAAAAAAGTCCCAGTGTTACATAAAATTCTTTCTCAACTGTTTTTCTCCCCTGATTTCCCTGAAAACTGTAAATGAACAAAGAGAGAGGAAAGTTGGGGAGCTGCTTTGACTATCAAATGACGGAGACAGTGTCGGGCTTGTGCGCTGCCGGGCTGTGTCCAGACCATATCTCTGCCCGTATGATTGCAGCTACTTTTTCCCCGATTTGCATTACTGTGTTCCACTCTAAGCTTTGCTCGGACCACAAAGAAATTGAGTCTTTGCATTTTATATTTGCTTTGTTCAAATGTCTGTGAAACTCTTTTCCATGTGGGCTCGGCCTTATCACGGGGCCGTATGCACATTTCATCAACAGACAAAAAGCACACATGGAGCTGCTGGATGGCTTTTATGTGTGCATCATATATTAAATCCTACAAATGAAGACACATCACATAAAATGCTCTTATTTCTGTCCATCAGCTACATCAAATTGCTTAATAATGGTCTTGGTTTGCTGCGAATGTGCTTTTTCTACGTAGTGCTTCCTCTGTGGAAATCATCAGCGATACACTCATGTTATCAATACTACACAAGCAGCCATAAAGGAAGAGCAGAGGAACTAAGATTTGAAGCTGACACCTTCACCTTTCGCTGTGATAAGACAAAACATTATTTGTGTTTGTAGATAAATGACACAGTTAATTTTTTAATTCATGGCTGTAAAATATGTCACACTTCACCCTTCATGCAACTTCTTTCTCACTGGACCGAAGAGGTGTGTCTTTGAAATAAGTTGTCCCCGACCCCTCCCACGGACTGTCTCGTAGCCCTAAACTTTGTTGGTGGTTGGAGAAGTTGTTCTTGTAGCTCCAGCCTACGCGGAGGTAGACAGTTCGAGCTGTGCCACCGTCCACCTGTACGAAGCCGCTGCTCATCTGCGACCTCCACTCGGGTAGGTGACCCCCTTCAGCTGTTGGTCTTCAGCAGAAACCGCAAATATAATCTGCTTGATTTGTTAAGAATGACTGATTGGTTGAGTGTAATTGAAAGTTTTACTGGTGAGGATTCATTTATTACTCTATGACTTGAAGAAATATTAGAGGTTTGCATTGGCTGGATGGAGCCTCCTTCTTAGTGAACTTTTATTTAGATTTTTTTTATTTTTAAACCATTTTTCAGACTCATCACCACAAGTTTATATAACTGTATAATTGATTCAGTCGTTACGTAACTTGGAGTTGATTTAATTTCTATGCAAATAAAACATTTCTTCCACTTTATGTTGTAGATAAGTAAGTATATATTGTAATATAAACAGCTAACTTAAACAGATTTGATGAAGATTTTGATTCTTGTGTGAGGGATTGTGTTTGAAATAATCATAGCAGACCTCCTGTTTTTGTTCCTAGTTTTGCCTCTTTTTGATCAGGCATCCGCAACCTGCTGTCTCACCCTGCTGTGTTTTTACACTTTTTTCTTGTCTCACAGATTTCTATTAATCAGATGAGATTAGGGTCACGTTGTATCAGTGGAGCTGGATATATTTAGCATTATAATAATGCCTTGTATCAGATTTTCTCAGACTTTATCAGACACTATCAGCCTCTTCTCTTTCCTCTTCTCCTCGCTCTAAAGATACCGAGCGAAAGCGAGAGAGAGAGAGAGAGCGGCCTTGGCTGTTATTACTGTTCATGTTGCGTTGCTGTAACGTTGTGCAGTGTCATGGCTGTGTGTGGAGTTGTGTCGCTGTTCTAAAGCAGCGATTCTGTTTTTTTTAACTTTGAAATGGCAGTAAATAGACTTTTAATGTCACTGACTATACATTTAATCATAAATTTGAATTCTTCTCGAATAAAAATTGTGAATTTGTAGAAAAAAAAAAAAAAGAAAAAGTTGCTGAATTACACAAATTTTTTTTTTCTTCAATTTAGAAGACTGCTGTGAAAATCTTACATGATCCTCCCAGTAGGGGCTGTTGTTGTCAACACGCTCAGTTTAGCTCCTGTTGTGCTGTTTGTCCACCCAGCAGGGCGTCCCCCCGAGGGCTCGCCTTTTTGTATTCTTCTAACTGGCACACCTACTGTATGAAGGCCATTTTGCAAACCGTTTGGTCACTGGCTGCATCGCCTCATTTATAGACCCATTTATTTTTAGTTTTTACTTTCAGCCACAGTCAAATGAGGATCCTAAAAAAAGGAAGTTTGAAAAAGCCTGCTGTCGAGAGATCTTGTCCCTGATAACTTCAAGTCACACACTGGTTGTTGTGAAGTGAAGAGCTTGGTGATAAAGCATCTGCTTCAATCAAAGCCAGAGCTTCTTTCGCTCTCGTCTGAATTACCGGAGCTGAGCTGTTCGCGGTGCACTTACGCACGACTTCGAGGGCAATTTCCACAAAGACAGACAAAGACAAGAAAGCTGAAAAAAAAGCAAATATAATATATGTTTAAACGTAGAAATAAACACCAAAATACTAAGTCTATATATAAGTCAAGCTGCCGGTTTTAAACACAGATACAACAGCTTAAAGGTGCAGAGAGCTTTAATAAAATAAGAATTATTGATGGGAAATGTTGCTTTATTTTAATGCAATAAGTACATACATACCATCTACACATGATTCAGTGTGACCAACAGCATAAAATCTCATTTCAGCTGCAGGTTTTTGTTTTTGCATCTGACAGAACAATATATGATTCTAACTTGTACACTGTGGTCCTGTCACAGTCTCTCCTGTCACCATGGACGATTCTTCAGAGCAGTCCCACTGGGTGTCTCCATCTCTGCTCAGCTCAGACCCTCTGGCCAGTTTCTCCTCTGATCCCGGCCTGCTGCCTCCAGGAGAGGAGGCTGAGCCCTTCTTCACCGGCCAAGACACCGACTACACCAGCCTGCCCTCTTTCTTCTCCAACCCGAGCCACGGCCGAGCTCCATCCACCTACAGACACAGCTCGGGTCAGTGCCTCCGTCCACCGTCGCCCAACAAACCCTCATCCTGCGAGTCACCATCTGACCTTCCCTCTCCTGTCCTTTTCTCCGTAGTTCGGCAGGTGTTCACCTCACCGAGTCTCCTGAGCAACTTCCAGCTGCTGGACGTACCGCCCACCTACTCCCTGAGCTCCCCCTACAACCCTCCGGCCTCCACCTGGAGCAGCAGCCCCCTGACCAAGACCTCGCTGCACTCGCACAACCCGACCTCCCTGTACACCCCTGGAGTGTCCTCCTCCTTCACCAACTCCAGAGATGGGTACTCGTCTCCAAGCAGAGAGGGCAGGGAGGAAAGTCCCCGGCTTCAGGAGGCCCTGAAGGCGGAGCGTCTGAGCCCGCTGGGTGGGTCGGGGGCAGGCAGCAGCTTTCTGAACCTGACTCCTGCGGCTGGGAGTGTGTACACTCCGACATCCCACTCTCACATGCTGGGCCCCTACAGCTCATACATGGGCGGCCCGCAGGATTACGGCTCTGCTTCTCTCTACTCCAGCCCCGGAGCATGGATCAGCCCGTCGTACTCCCCCAAACTCCGCAACAAGATGAGGATATCCACTCCAGGTGAGGATGCATTAAGATGTGCCATTTTCTGATTGGATTGTGTTGGGTGCATCATCTTGACCACATACTCTTAAAACTCAAGCTCAGCCTTTGAAACAGCTGCTCTGGAGCTTCTGAACAAGTTGCATGATGGTAAATTTGAGAAGAAATTAGCTTAGAAGTGGTCACAGAAAGGAATTTCAAACAAGTGCACTTAAATGAAAACTGGGCATCTGCAAAAAAAAAAGACTGAAAGTGGTGAGACAGTTTTGTCAAGTAAAGAATTTAACTAATTCACTATTTACCCATCGAATGTACTTTGACCCATTTTAAGATATTTGCACAGAACATATCTGCATCCATGTGCAGCACTTTAACCCTTTATGTCATAAAACCTGCACTAACAACTGCATCTTTCTGGTTTTGAGCAGAGGCCAGAGAGTGCGTCAACTGTGGAGCCACAGCTACCCCTCTGTGGCGCCGGGATGGTACAGGCCACTACCTGTGTAATGCCTGTGGACTGTACCACAAGATGAACGGCCAGAACAGACCTCTAATCCGGCCCAAGAAGAGACTGGTATGACACGGTTCTTTCCAGGCCCCTCAGTAAACCATTAACTCAGCAATTTGTAGTTCAGAAGTATTGATTATTTCCTTTGTTTCAGATTGTCAGCAAGCGTGCAGGAACCCTGTGCGCCAACTGCCACACGAGCACAACAACACTGTGGAGACGCAACGCCAGCGGAGAGCCTGTGTGCAACGCCTGTGGACTCTACTACAAACTGCACAACGTGAGTGTGGAGAAAAGTCACAGTGATAATCCTCAGAACTTTTTACCCAACATGCGCTAACCTAATTCCTCTCTTCTCCTCAGGTGAACCGGCCTCTCACCATGAAGAAGGACGGCATTCAGACACGCAACAGAAAAGTCTCCAACAAGAACAAGAAGAGCAAGAAGGCCGCCTTGCTGGAGCCGTACTCGGAGGTGACCCAGCCCACCTCCCTGGACGACAACGGCGGGCCCTTTTCTCTCGGCCCCGGGACTCTGCTGACCTACAGCCACATGCCTCACCTCGTCCCCACGCCGTCCCCCCTGCACCCCTCTGCCAGTTTACCCTACACACACCACCTCAACACTGGCATGGTGCCCACACTGGTGTGACGTGACAGATCAGGCACTTGCATACACTCAGGAATCAGCACACTCGCTCGCTTGCTTGTTTGCCAGTTTGTTTGTTTTTTTTACATGGATTTGTACATATGTGATTCTACACTGGATTTCTTTTTGTTCTCACTGTATTTTATTAGAAAACATATTTTGTTCATATTGTCTTTATTAGGCCACTTGTTTGAAGTCCGATAAATCACTCCGCTGAGGTTTGCTGCACTTGTAAACACACTGATAGGGGAATTCTTACAGCTGTAAATACAAACAGGAATCTGATTTGACTGCGTGACGAACACCTCCTTTGTTGTCGAAAATGTGAAACCTTACTTTAGCTTTGCGTTTGGTGGGTCTGTTTTGTATTTGCATAAGTGATATTACAATATTAAAACTCTACCGTGAAAATAATAAAATGAGTTTTGTGACTTATGAAGGCTTTTGTTTTAAGTCATTTGAATTCTCACCTCATGTGTTCGGCTCAGTGACCTGACCGCAGTAAAGCCTCCTGTGTGGCGTTATTGTACTCCCCTGCTCAGGTATAATGGTGTCTTTGTGCAGGCAAGCGCTCCACTTTGACAGTGTAATTGTACATTGGGGGGTATGCAAATCCTCTATTCCGCAGAAGTGGCAAACACTCAACTAAAGTGCAACACTTTGTCCTGGTTTCGTATTTAAAACCAGCTCTGTCAGTTTTTTTTTTTGAAAAACTGGGCTGCTCACGCTCAAACACAAGGTCTTGTTTGCATTCGTTATTAATCGTCTCTGCTCAGAATGCTTAGAAGGGTTGTTTCTCCCTGCATCAATTTTCCATTTTTGCTTGAATGCAAACATGAGAGATAACTCAGAATGTGCTTTGTAACCGTAACAATGTGGTTTATGATACTGCAGCTCCTCTTTGGCTGAGGAGTCAGAGGATTGTGAGGTGAATTGTGTGCGTGTGAATGTTCAGGTTGTTACAGTAAAATACATTTACTTAAGTATTATTTACTTTCTTGAGTATTTTTAATTTTGTTTTTGCTACTTTGTACTTACGATCCACTACAGAGGCTAATTGTATATTTTACTCTATTACATGTATTGACTATCTTTATTTATTGATTACTTTGAAGATTTAATTTAATAATCCAAAACAAAATAGCAAAATAAATTAGGAAGTGATACTTTAGATTAAGATAAAACTTTTTTGATCCCTCAGGAGAAATTTACACGCTAACTAGCAGGTAGTTAAATCATATTAATGCATCTATAATAACAATCCAGTAATATACATGATTTCAAATAGGCCATTGTGCATGATGAGCACTTTTAGTTTTGGTCTTTTAATTATATTTAATGAAAATACTCTTGTATCTGTATGCCAGTATAAATGTAAAAACATAAAAGTACGAGGCCTTTTCCTGTAACACATTGTTTTTACACTGTGATATTTTATTTAGGTGCAAGATCGAAAAGAAAAGTGAAAGAAGCAAAGCAATCACATTTTTTTTTCATACCACAAAGTAAAAATACCACATTATAAGTTATCAAAACACGTTAAGATTAAAAAAATAACACTATTCTCAGTCAACTTTAC